CCGCTGCGGGGGTCTTCTGGTTTTTTTTTTTTTTTTAAACTCTTTGATTTCTTCTTTTTATATATATATATAAAAAAAAAGCGGCGGGGAAGTTTGGACTGAAACGCCTCCAGGGTCTTCTTCTCTTGTGCCAGTGGAGTAGGGGGGCAACGAGGAGCTGCTTGTTGAGGAGGGGAGAGAGTGTGGGGGTGCTTTGGGGTTGTTTCGCGTGGTTGTGGCCGGGAAAATCGAGGTTTCTCGCCCGCTGAGAGTGGGGGCAGCGATGAGGTCGCACCTTAATTCTGGAGGGGAAAACAAAAATTAAAAAAAAAAAAAAAAACAAAAGAGGGGGGAACGTGGGGGTGGGAGAAAGGAAAAGGGGGGAAAATCCGGCCGGTGGAACTGGTTGACAAGGTTGCTTTTAGGATATTCTTGTTCCTGAGCGTTTCGCCTCCTCTTTGACCACAGCATTGTGTTTTATCCTTTCCATTTGTTTAACCTGCAAGGAATATTGGGGAGCAAAAGCACCCTGAAACTGGGAAAAACGTTGGGAAAGAGCTGCGCTTTGTTAAGCGTTACTTTCTTTTTTTTTTTCCTCTTCTTCTTCTTTTTTTTCCTCTCTCCTTCTTTCCTTTCTTTCTTTTTTTTTCTTTTTTTTTTTTTTGTTCCGAGGCAGTTTAGGAATTTCGTGTGCTCGTCTGCAACTCATTGGAAATTATGCGCCATATTGAAAGTGACATATAATTATAATAATTACGGGCAATGAAAAGCGTGGCAATAATAGTAAATGTCCTACAGCTGTGAAGCTTCTGCATGAATTGATTTTAAAAGTGACTGACATTAAAGCAGCTTGTGGCGCGGGGGAATGCATTCATACATAGGTATTTCTGGTGGGGAGAAGGGGGAAAAAAGGGGATGGGAGGGCAGGAGATGCTGTTTCCTCGCGTTTTCCCCCCGCGAAGCTGCAGAAAACGGGCTCGGAAATCGGCCGGGCTGCTCCCTCGGTCACAGTCCTGAATCCCCGGGCGGAAAAAGCGGTTCCTTTCGTTTCATTCCCAAAGAAAAAAAACCCCAAAAAACCGGGAAAAGTTTGGCTGTTTGCACGAGGTTCCTCGGCGCGGAGCAGGGACGGTCCCCGTCCCATTCCCAGGGAAGTCGCAGCTCTCCCGAGGAGCCGCTGGAAAACGCTTCCAAGGGAAAATAGAAATCCGCTCTTTCGAAAGAGCTCGTTGGATTTAGTTTAGACTTTTTTTTTTTTTTTCTCACACCCCAGCACCTCAAACGGACGCTGTAATTCCTGGAGCTGGGAAGCTCCTCGTTTCTCGGGGTGAATTCCCTGGAAATCTGGATTTTTTTTTTTTTTTATTTTTTTTTTGCCATGCACTTCGCTTTGATTTGGGGCTATGAAGCGAGGGACCAGATGTTTGAAAGATGCTGGGCAAATGTTAGGTATCTTTGCGAGATAAATGAGAGCATATTTTTGCCCCGTTTCCTTGATTTATTATGTATATGGAGAGCGTTTCGTCATAACTCTTTGTACTGTACCAAGAAAAAAGAGCACTGCTAAAGCAGAATGTCAGCGAGGAAATACTATTGGTGAAAGGTCTTCCATTTGAGATTAGACAAAAAGAGGGAAAACCAGATTTATCTCTCCACTGTAACTTCCGTGGGCTCGGAGTTGCTTGTCCTTGCAGATTAGGAGACATTGTCATACAGAGGGAAAAAAGGCTTTTCTTTACAACCCTCTGCTCCTTAAGTTCCCCTGGAAAAGGGAAAGACAACAACAATAAAAGCGATAATAATGACAGGGGGGGTTGTGCGTGAGATCGAAGACTTCGCTTTTATTAGAGAATTCCATGTTCATACCTAAGACAAACTTCAAACACAACACGTACAAAAAAATTAATAAAATAGAACTTTCTGTTGTCGCTTTTGCATCCTTTTAGGTAGTACTCGTTCTTTCAGTAGATTTTTCCTTTTTTTAAAAAAAAAAAAAAAAAAAGAAGCAAAAAAACCACCCCTCAAAACTAATTACAAAGACCCCAGGGCTTGATTAATTTACCAAAGGAGAAAAAAAATAAAGGAAAAAAAAAAACAAACCAACAACCAAAAACCTATGTCAACCGTGCATGAAACATTTTTACAAAATTAGGACAATAAACACCCCAAATGACATATATTGCAGCACTTCCATTAAATACAAGAGTTAGCAGGTTACTAACAGTGACACCAAGGGTAGAAACACGGCTAGGAGTCCTTTTTTTTTTTTTTTTTTTCTTTTTGTGTCTTTTCTCTTTCCCTTTCTTTCCCTCCTTCTCTCGCCATCTCTTCTCTTTTTAATTATTATTATTATTATTATTTCATTTCGAGGGGGAGGAGGGGGGCGGAGTGGGAGGGAAGGGAGGTCTAGGAAGGGAAAAAAGAAATTCCAAACGCGACTAGAAGCCTGATTTATTTTTTTTTTTGCTGGACACGACTGGGAATACGAGTCCGTGGCATTGGTGGCCCAAACTTTCTGGCTGTCGCCGCTGCTGCAGAGGGCTTGTCCCACCAACGTGCGGGTTTTCCCTGTCCCCGCAGTCAGCCCACACCCCCCTCATCCTCTCGGCTCTCACACTCCCTCACTCACTCCCTAATTTCTCCCTTTTTTTTTTTTTGTTCTTTTTGTTTTTTTTTTTCCTGCGTGTGCTTTTAAATAATCCTTTCACTCCGCCGTTTTCTCCTCCTCCTCCTCCGCGCTGAGCTGCGAGGAGTTGAGCAATTTGTTCTCTTTTTTCCACTTCATGCGGCGGTTCTGGAACCAGATTTTGATCTGCCGCTCGGTCAGGCAGAGGGAATGGGCGATCTCGATCCGCCGGCGCCGGGTCAGGTAGCGGTTGAAGTGGAATTCCTTCTCCAGCTCCAGGGTCTGGTAGCGGGTGTAGGTCTGGCGGCCCCGACGGCCGCTGGGCCCGAAGGAAGAACCTGTGACACCCGCGGAAAACAAAAACGGGAGACAAATAGGAGACACGGAGGAGATAAATAGAGAGAAAAAAAAAAAATAGGGGGAAATAGGGAGGGAAGGGGAGGGAGGAGAAGGGGAATAAAGGACGCGCGAGAGCAAAAAGAAGGGAGAGCCCCGAGGTTCGGTGGGGCCGCGGGGGTGCCGGACAGGGCTGTGCGGCCGCTCCCCTGCCCTCCAAAGGCTTTGGCCAACTCCAAATTAAGCCCTGAGAGGGTCCCCCCGGCCGGGCCGCGGCCGCGCAGGGAGGGGGGTTCAGGCTGCGCTCGCCGGGCTGGGGAGACAGGGCGAGATCTGTCTTATTCCGGCATGAAAAATCGCAAGGTGTTCTCGGCATCTCCCCCCCCTCCTCGCCCGCCCTCGCTGTTTTCCACCCTACCGGCAACTGTAATAGATCTGAGCATTTAAGCAATAATGAAGTGAATCGATCTGCCCAAACTCCGCATTAAAGAGGACACAACACTTTATGTCCCTGCGCTAATGGACATCAATTTGGAACTTAAAAGGCAACAAATGCATCTAAACATGGGAAGGAGGGCAGTGAGCCTCTATTATTTTTCTCTCTCCCCTCTCCCCCCACCCCCCCCAGTTGTTTTGGTTGTTGTTGTTTTGTTTGGTTTTTTTGTTTTTTTTTTTTTTTAATTCTGATTGAGGAAACAGCACTTAAAGAAGTCATATATCACCAGGGGGGAAAAAAAAAATCCTCCCCAGGCAGACTTTTCATTACGTGCGAATTTCATTAAAAATGCAACCGTCTCCCTTCACGTATTTAAACACTTTTTATATCATTTAACTCCGGATCGGGCAGCCAGCGAGAGAGGGAGCTGCGTGGGGGCGTGGGGGGGGTGTGTGTAAAGTCATCCAGATCTGATTTAGAAAAGATATCTCCCTGTGCGTGTGGGGGAAAGACAGAGACAAATCGTTGTAGCTGAGTGACACGCAAACTGGAATGTGGAAAAGAGAGGGCAAAAAAAAAAGGGGGGGGGGGGAA